TGTGTCGGGTCCAGCCTGGCCTGGCACCTCTGGTGCAGGTACAGCCTGCCTGGTGAACTCCCTGGTGCAGGTCCCCTTGGCCGGTACTCCTTGGTGCGTACAGCCTGGCCTTGTACCTCTGGTGCAGTCAGCCTGGCTTGGGACCTCCTGGTGCACGTGACAGCCTGGCTTGGGACCATCCTGGTTCAGGTCAAGCTGGCTTGGTACCTCCTGGTGCAGTACAGCCTGGCCTTGAGACCTCCTGGTGGCCAGTACAGCCTGGCTTGGTCCTCCTGGTGCAGGTCAGCCTGGCTTGGGACCCTTCTTCGTGCCAGTACAGCCTCGGCTTGGGACCTCCTGGTTGCAGGTCAACCGTGGCTTGGTAATCCTGGTGTTAATAAGGCCTGGTTTTGGTACCCTCCTGGTGCGCACCTGGCTGGTACCTCCTGGTGCGTGTCACCTGGCTTGGTCCTCCTGGTTGCAGGTCAGCCTGGCTTGGTACCTCCTGTGCAGGTCGGCCTGGCTTGGGACCTCGCCTGGTGCAGGTAGCCTGGGTTGGTACCTCCTGGTGCAGTACAGCCTGGCTTGGGGCACTCCTGGGCAGGTCATGACTGGCTTGGGCCTCCTGTGCAGGTCAAGCCTGCGGGCTTTGGGACCTCCTTGTGGCAGGTCCAGGCCAGGCTGACCCGCACCAGGAGGTGCCAGGCCAGGCTGACCCGCACCAGGAGGTGCCAGGCCAGGCTGACCCGCACCAGGAGGTGCCAGGCCAGGCTGACCCGCACCAGGAGGTCCCAGGCCAGGCTGACCCGCACCAGGAGGTCCCAGGCCAGGCTGACCCGCACCAGGAGGTACCAGGCCAGGTTGAGCTGCACCAGGAGGTACCAGGCCAGGCTGACCTGCACCAGGAGGTACTAAGCCAGGCTGACCTGCACCAGGAGTTACCAAGCCAGGTTGAGCTGCACCAGGAGGTATCAAGCCAGGTTGAGCTGCACCAGGAGTTACTAAGCCAGGCTGACCTGCACCAGGAGGTACCAAGCCAGGCTGACCTGCACCAGGAGGTACCAAGCCAGGTTGAGCTACACCAGGAGTTACTAAGCCAGGTTGAGCTGCACCAGGAGTTACTAAGCCAGGTTGAGCTGCACCAGGAGTTACTAAGCCAGGCTGACCTGCACCAGGAGGTACCAAGCCAGGCTGACCTGCACCAGGAGGTAACAAGCCAGGCTGACCTGCACCAGGAGGTCTCAAGCCAGGCTGACCTGCCCAAGCCAGGCTGACCTGCACCAGGAGGTAACAAGCCAGGCTGACCTGCACCAGGAGTTACTAAGCCAGGTTGAGCTGCACCAGGAGTTACTAAGCCAGGTTGACCTGCACCAGGAGGTAACAAGCCAGGTTGACCTGCACCAGGAGTTACTAAGCCAGGTTGAGCTGCACCAGGAGTTACTAAGCCAGGTTGAGCTGCACCAAGAGGTACCAAGCCAGGCTGACCTGCACCAGGAGGTAACAAGCCAGGCTGACCTGCACCAGGAGTTACTAAGCCAGGTTGAGCTGCACTAGGAGGTACCAAGCCAGGCTGACCTGCACCAGGAGGTACCAAGCCAGGCTGACCTGCACCAGGAGGTAACAAGCCAGGCTGACCTGCACCAGGAGGTAACAAGCCAGGTTGACCTGCACCAGGAGGTAACAAGCCAGGTTGAGCTGCACCAGGAGTTACTAAGCCAGGTTGAGCTGCACCAGAAGGCACCAAGCCTGGTTGACCTGCACCAGGACGTAGGAAGCCAGGTTGAGCTGCACCAGGAGGTACCAAACCAGGCTGACCTGCACCAGGAGTTACTAAACCAGGCTGACCTGCACCAGGAGGTCTCAAGCCAGGCTGACCTGCACCAGGAGGTCCCAAGCCAGGCTGACCTGCACCAGGAGGTCCCAAGCCAGGCTGAGCTGCACCAGGAGGTCCCAAGCCAGGCTGACCTGCACCAGGAGGTCCCAAGCCAGGCTGACCTGCACCAGGAGGTACCAAGCCAGGCTGACCTGCACCAGGAGGTACCAAGCCAGGCTGACCTGCACCAGGAGGTAACAAGCCAGGTTGAGCTGCACCAGGAGTTACTAAGCCAGGTTGAGCTGCACCAGGAGTTACTAAGCCAGGTTGAGCTGCACCAGGAGGTACCAAACCAGGCTGACCTACACTAGGAGGTCCCAAGCCAGGCTGAACCAGGAGGTCCCAAGCCAGGCTGACCTGCACCAGGAGGTCCCAAGCCAGGCTGACCTGCACCAGGAGGTCCCAAGCCAGGCTGACCTGCACCAGTAGGTACCCAACCAGGCTGTACTGCACCAGGAATTACCAAACCAGGCTGACCTGCCCCAGGCTGGACCAAACCACGTTGATCTGTGCCAGGCTGCACCAATCCATGCGGACCCATACCATGTTGAACCAATCCAGGCTGATATGCCCCAGGCTCCACCAAACCATACTGATCTCTGCCAGGCTGGATAAAATCACGCTGCTCTGTACCAGGCCGTATGAAGCCAGTTGTTTCTAATCGGGGCTGTACAAAACCTTGCTGACCTACACTAACTTGCATCAAATTAGGTGCTGCCAAACCATGCTGATCTGTAAGAGGTGGAACCAATCCACGTTGATCTATGCCAGGCAGTACCAATCCTTGCTGATCCATGCCAGGAGGTACCAGTCCATGCTGATCTGTGCCTAATCTTACAAACCCATGCTGATCCAGGCCAGGTGGCTGCACACCACCCACATACATGCGGGGCTGTTCCATACCACGTTGGTCTGTGCCAGGAGCTATCATACCCTGCTGATATGTGCTAAGTGGAACTATAACAGGCTGGCCTCTACCAGGTAATTCCAATTCATGCTGATCTCTGCCAGGTACCAATGGTGGCACCACACCACGCTGATCTGTGACAAGTGGTACAAATCCCTGATCATCCATTGCTGGCGGTATCGCACCAAGCTGAGTCATGTTGAGGGGTACCACACCATGTGCAGGATATACCAGTCCAGGCTGATCCATGCCAGTTGGTCCTAATCCAGGATGATCTGGCCTTAGATAGACTTGACCTTGGCTAATGGGAACCCCACCGTGCTGATCTAGGCGTGCGTATTGATACCGATCTCTGGTAGACGTTATATCCTGTTGAACTGGGCCAGGGCGTGTATCTCGTTCATCTCTTCTTGGAAGTGTTAAGGGGAACTTATCTCTACTCTTGAGACGATCTGAGTCCCCCCTGACCTGGGATACAGAAGGCTGACGGTGTCTCGACATGCCAGCTTCATCACGGGCCCTGGGGTACTGCTCTCTGCCAGCAGCAGAGGAGAGCCTGCCTCGTTCCCTGCTAGCAGCCGCCTCAGCGTAGAGTCCTGTGCCGACGGATCCTGATACGGTCTGATCTGGGCCCAAACCACCAGTATAATCCAGAGACTGGTCAATACTTGGTTGCTTGGTAGACAGTCCACTTGGAATCAGATCACCTGATGTCATGGAAGTAGTCCGTCCTCTGCGCTTAGAAAGTCCTGTAGTGTCTGAGCTCTGGTTGAGGAAGAAGGAGGAAACTAATAACCAGTCAGAAATGCTCACAGTAAGAGTTGGAAGGAAAGAACTCTGGGAGACCTGCCTGGGACGATTGAGAGCCCTTGGAGAAAAAAACTCTCTGGTCCTAAAGACTAAGCTGGACATACAGACTTTGACATTCTTGAGGGACAGGTCTGCAGATACCTGGGAGTCTACACATTTGCAAATGGCATCAGAATATGTAAAACTGCAAAATACAAGAGATCCTTCTGAACTTTTGCTGAGTCTATAAATAAAGGACGTAAGTAATTTATTAAGTTTAAAATATAAAGTCTGCCCCATTGTCGGCTTATTGCTGATGGTAAAAGTGTACGCTGGCGGGCGTGTAGACCATCTATTTAAAATGTAAATGTGCAAACCCTTGGACCCGGGAATTCCACAGAATAGGAATTTTCCACAGAATAGGAATTGTGAGTCTATGGACTCACAAAGGATGCCAAGATGTAACCCACAAAGAAGGAGTTTGTGAGACTTGTGAGACTAGATTGTCAATAGGGGACTGATATATTTATGGCACACCTGTACAATAGAATACTACAAATCCACTAAAAACTCATGACAGCCTATTTCCATTTCCAGCTGAGGTGAAGTGACAAGGGCTGGATTTATGCTCCTGTCTGTAACAACAAAAACAAAACCCGCCACCACCAATGAAACAGCGTTATTGTAGACACTGGCTATCAGGCAATGAAGGATAGCAATCCTCAAGAGATGGACAGACGCCGTGAGCCCTGCTGCTGCCTCAGCTCACTGTCTTGATAGAGCTTTCAGCTACAGCGCAGGGAAGTGGCACGGAGGCAGAGCCTAGCCTGGCTCACCTGAGCTGAGGACACAGAGCCGAGCAGTCAAGGAGATTAAGGCAACTAGAGTTCCCGGGATACAGCATCACAAAAAGGGAGACACACAGAAGGAGCACTCCTGAGATCTGAGGACGGTTCCCCTCAAGTATATAGCACAGAAATGATGAGCACATACACGCAAGGAGACTTCCCAAGGCTGGGAAATAACCATCCAGCCAGGCTGGAAGGAGCAGGGCCCAGCCTCCCATCTGTTTTTATAAGCCAGTTTGGAGACCCACCTAACAAATCATAAAATCATAACAGCAAGACCCAAAAGGATCAAACTATTTTCAAGTAACTGCATCTTGGGGGAAAAAAAACCTCAAAAAAATGTATGGGAATACAAAAATATCCAGTAGCCAACAAAGTAGAATTCACAATGGTTGCCAATCAATCAAAGATTACCAGGCATGCAGAAAGGCCGAAAAACGTGACCTGTGATGTGGAGATAACTCAATCAACAGAAACCAGCTCAACACTGACACAGGTGTTAGAATTAGCAGACAAGGATAAAACAGTATAGCTATATTTCTTATGTTTAAAAAGTCAAATAGAGGCCAGGCGCGGTGGCTCACGCCTGTAATCCTAGCACTCTGGGAGGCCAAGGCAGGTGGATCGCTCAAGGTCAGGAGTTCAATACCAGACTGAGCAAGAGCGAGACCCCGTCTCTACTAAAAAGAGAAAGAAATTAATTGGCCAACTAAAAATATATAGAAAAACTAGCCGGGCATGGTGGCACATAGTGACACAATGGAATATTATTCAGCCACAAAAAAAGAATGAAATCCTGTCATTTGCGGCAACATGGATGGAATTGGAAGACATTATGTCAAATGAAGTAAGCCAGGTATGGAAAGACAAACATCACGTGTTCTTACTTGTATACAGGAAGTTGTATATAGGAAGAACTTGTATATAGGAAGAGCTAAAAAAAAAAATGATCTCATGGAGGCAGTGAGTAGAATGGTAGGTTGGGAAGGGTAGAGTTGAAGAGAAGTTTGCTAATGAGTACAAAAATACAGTTACATAGGAGTAAGTTCTAGTGTTTGATAGCACAGTAGGACAACTATAGTTAATAATAATTTATTGTATATTTCCAAATAGCCAGATGAGAAGATTTGGAATATTTCCAACACAAAGAAATGATAAATGTTTGAGGTGATGGATACCCTAATTACCCTGATTTAATCATTACACATTGTATGCACGTATCAAAATATCATAAATACCCTATAAGTACGTACAACTATTATGTGTCAATAAAAAAGAAACTATCCAAAATGAAATTGCAAGAAAAAAGAATAAAAAATAAAAAGAACATCAATGAGCTGTCAGATAATTTCAAATGTATATATATGTATATATATATACATTTGAAATTATCAAATATATATATATATATGTATATGTAATTGGAGCCTCTGAAAGACAGGGGAGGAAGGGGACAGAAAAAAGATTTGTAGAAATAATGTGCAAAAACTTTCCAAACTTGATGAAAACTATAAACTCAGAGATACAAGAAGCTCAGTGTACCCCAAGCACAGAAACAATGACAATGACACCATGGCACATCATAAATTGCTCAAAAGCAGTAATAAAGAGAAAAATCTTCAAAGCAGCCAGAGGAAAAAAGGGGTATGTGCAGAAGAACAAAATTAAACATGACAACAGATTGCTCACTGGAAAAAATGCAAGCAAGAAGACAATGGAGCAAAATCTTTAAAGTAAATTTAAAAAGTGTCAACCTAGAATTCTATGCTAGACAAAAATAGCTTTCAAAAATGAAGGCAAGCCCACCTAGGAAACATAGTGAGATCTTGTCTCAACAAAAAACTTTGAAAATTAGTCAGGTGTGGTGATGTACACTTGTAGTCCTAGCTACATGGGAGGCTGAGGCAGGAGGATTGGTTGAGCCCAGAAATTCGAGGATACAGTAAGCTATGATTGTGCCACTGCACTCCAGCCTGGGCAGCAGAGCAAGATCCCATCAATCAATCAATCAATCAATCAATCAATCAATCAATCAATCAATCAATCATTCTTTAAAATTAAGGCAAGAAGGACTTTTGGAATGGCTGAACAAGGACCTCTGAAAGCTGTTTCTTCATAAATACAATGAGAACACTGGCAAAAATGGTCAAAACCAACTTTTTCTGAATTCTGGAACTTAACCAAAGGCTTGTAGCAATCTGAGGAACATTTATTCAATGAAAACAACTGAGCTCGGCCAGGCACGGTGGCTCATGCCTATAATCCTAGCGCTCTGGGAGGCTGAGGCAGGCAGATCATTTGAGCTCAGGAGTTTGAGGCCAGCCTAAGCAAGAATGAGACCCCCGGCCGGGCGCTGTGGCTCACGCCTGTAATCCTAGCTCTTGGGAGGCCGAGGCGGGCGGATTGCTCAACGTCAGGAGTTCAAAACCAGCCTGAGCAAGAGCGAGACCCCGTCTCTACTATAAATAGAAAGAAATTAATTGGCCAACTGATATATATATAAAAAAAAAAATTAGCCGGGCATGGTGGCGCATGCCTGTAGTCCCAGCTACCCGGGAGGCTGAGGCAGAAGGATCACTCGAGCCCAGGAGTTTGAGGTTGCTGTGAGCTAGGCTGACGCCACGGCACTCACTCTAGCCTGGGCAACAAAGCGAGACTCTGTCTCAAAAAAAAAAAAAAAAAAAAAAAAAAAAACCCCCCCCCACCACAAAAAAAAAAAAAAAAAAAAAAAAGAATGAGACCCCCAACTCTACAAAATATAGAAAAAAAAAAATTAGCCAGGCATGGTGGCACATGCCTATAGTCCCAGCTACTTGGGAGGCTGAGGCAGGAGGATCGCTTGAGCCCAGGAGTGTGTGAGGTTGCTGTGAGCTAGGCTGACGCCACGGCACCACTCTAGCCAGGGTAACAGAGTGAGACTCTGTCTCAACAAAACAAAACAAAACACAGTTTTATACTCTTATAGTTGTTGGATATAAAATGTCTAAAATGAGTTAGCAGGGTTGTGGACTTCTGGGGGAAAACCCATTTCCATACCTTTTCCAGCTTCTAGAGGGCACTTACATTGCTTAGCTGGTGGCCCCATCCTCCATCTTCAAAACCATGAGTTATCATCTCCCTCTGACCCTGTTTCTCGCTGCTTCTATCATGCTGCCTTCTCCGTCTTTGACCCTCCTGCTTCCCTCCATTGGCACCCCAGGATAATCCAGGATAATCTCTCTTTCTCAAGATCCTTAACTTGAAGCTGGGATCCAAATCAGGATGGCGGATGAGAAACACCGCCAGACAGAGTGTCTCTGCAGAAAAGACATATTCTAGCAGAAATTAGAAGCAGCAAGACGACGAGCCTACATTGGATGAGGGATGGAAGGAGGGGTACCTGAGACCACGGGAGACTCCACGGGAGGAGGTTGCGGAAGAGAACTGGAAGCGGAAACCTCCAGAGCAGCCTGGAGACCAGCAGCAAGGGTACGTAGAGCGATTAACTCTCCTCTCCCTTGCATCTCAGACTGCTGGTGGGCTCCCTAGCGGGTGGAAAGACCTGCACACACCAGCCCAGAGACGGCCACCGCCAGTGAACGGTGAGTCTGTAGTGGACCCCACACCAGGCTCCCAACTCCTGCAGAGCACTTCCCTGTGCACAGACCCGCGCCACAGGCGCCATATTGCCTCATTCTCCCCTCCCCCGACCCTATCCGTGGCTGCCCAGAGAGACAGTATAGCCACCAGCTGGAGGGGTCTCCAGGGAACAGGACCTTCCCTTTTGGGGCCCTACAGCTGACTGAGGGGAACTCAGACTGTGAGCTCCCTACCCGCCAGCCCTCCCAGGTGCTGCTGGCATGGTGATCCCAGGAGAACGGGGCAGACCCTGAGGCTGAGAGACATAGACCCAGCTGGGGCTCCCCGTGGGTGAATTGGGACTGGCACTCCTCTCCCTGGTGGGGATATAGTTTGAACCCTGGGACCCAGAGGTCAGACCTGCAGACCAGATCCCGTGCACCCAGGTCTCTCATTGCCCAGGACACAGAAGGGATATACACGAACAGCCTGCTGAGGTGTGTGTGCCTTCAGGGGCAGATCAGCGTCCTAGAGGGCAACCCTCCTCCCAAAAGGAGGCCTTAAGCCCAG